CTGTTTCACCAACTCCAGGCCCCCGCCAGGGGCATGGGAGAATGAGGTCAGATTATGAAGTTCTCTGAAATTGTGGAGAGAACTAAGAAATAATGTGGGAACAATTAGATTCAATGAGGAAATTATAGAGTCCAGGCAAGGTAATTCATGTACCAAAAAACTCATCAACTCTATCCACTAAATAACATCTGAAAATAAATCTAGATAGACATCAAGTGATCAAATGCAATTAATTGTATTTTATATATACATTATATAATTATAATTTATAGTATAAATTATAATTTATACTAAGATATTTCTTAAGCCCAAATATTTAGCAGAGTACATAAAAGCACACTAAAATTTCTGCCAAAAAAGACAGCTATTTATTGAGCAATTTGTGTCAACAAACATAATTTCAATCAATTCTTTTAACAACCGTTCAAAGTCTGTATTATAAAATGAAAAAAAATCGAACCTTAATAAGCTCAAAAATCCCTTGCCCAACCAAGTCAAACAGCCAATGATAAACATAAGAATCAAAACTTAAGCTCCGGTCTATTTAAAAAAGCCAAAATCCATTCTCTGACTATTTTCTCAAAAGGACTTAGTTTCATAAGATTGTACATATAAGGTTTTTGTAGTCTGAAAAGCCTTTGTCTGGCAAAGGGTGAATCTGAAAGTGATGGGGCAAATATAAATCAGGTGTGGCCACCTTGAAGCTACATACATTCTTTCAGAAAACCTTTCTAAGGAACTCCATAAAACAGACTTAGAAAACTATCTAAGGAAAATTTGTTCCCAGCAAAGCTCTATGAGATTATGTAAAACTTACCTCCGTATATGATTTCTTGGTTATATGAACATTCTTAGCTCTATAGGACTGGCGTCTTCTTTTATAATCCCTCACTTCTGCTAGGATTTCAAGATAAGATTTTGGACTTTTTCGACTATTATCTAATAAAAGAATAAAATAAAATTATTATGTCCTTAGCTTTTAAATTATTATAAATTAGCAGGAAGGAACACCACCACAATGACCCTATAGTTCAACGTTTCAATGTAGCATGCAAAAACATTCTAAAAATTCTACATTACATAAATGTGCTAAGTTTTATATAATTCATTTTCTCTAGCAATTAGTTGAACGTAAGAGTGTTTTAAGTAAATAGATTCAAGTAACAGCACAGCTGTAACATTTTTACAGAAGGAAGATATGTTTAATGTAAAAATCAGAGAGCAAAATTTAATGTATTAAGTAAACATCTTAATATATATGCATATATAAATATCAGATGATATAAAACCATCCTATTCCAACTCAAAGTAGCCTGACACATCATACTAATAACATTCAAAGAATGGAATGACAATTAAGAAATATAAAATTATGATACTGATCGCTAACCTTGATTGACTTTTGCAGCCAAGTCTACAAAGAGATCACTGTCATTTTCAATATTTTGAGAATCAGTGCGCTTTTTCTTTGTCTCCTCAATTACAAAGTCATAAAGGGCAAGACGATCAGCTTGGGTCAGGTCACAAATAAACCGTTGGTGATTCAGAGGAACTTCAACAGGTAATGAAGAATAAATCCCTAAAGTAAAAATAAAACCACAAGAATAAACAATACATGAAGCATTGTGGACTTAAAATTCTACTACTTATCTTTAAACATGTGGTGTACTAATGCAGTATTAACACATTTTTTTCCCCTAGTATTTGCTAAATATACAAAATATCCATCTGTGTGATAAATAGTAAACAATGACTATTCTGAATGCTATACCCACATCATCAAGGATGTACTGTGGCTGTTCGTTCTTCTCTCCAACGTTAAAAGATAGATCCCATGAAGGCAGGCAGTTATCACCATGAGACAATTTGCTCACCAGAAAATCTTTGGGTAACAATTTTTAAAAGGCTACCCAAATTATAAAAGTAGATATTAGGGCCGGCCGAGTGGCGGGATGGTTAAGAACTGGCTTGGGATGCCAGAGGGCCCCGGTTCGGATCCCACGTATGAGGGCCAGTGACACTGCCCTCCACAGCTAAGATGCTGAACAACAGCTCAACCTGGAGCTGGGCTGCTGTGAGTCGCCGGCGNATCTTGAGAACAGCAAGAGAAAAACAACTTACTATTACATACGAGGCAAACCCCATAAGGCTATCAGCACATTTTTCAGCAGATGCTTTATAGGTCAGAATAGAGTGGCACAGCACATTCAAAGTCCTGAAAGGAAAAAATCGCCAACCAAGAATTCTCTACCCAGCGAGGTTAATATTAAGATTTGAAGGCGATCAAGTTTTCCAGATAAGCAAAAGCTTAAGGAGTTCATCACCACTACACCAGCCTTACCAGAAATGTTAAAGAAACTTTTCTAAGCTAAAAAGAAAAGGTGCTAATTAATAAGAACACATACAAAAGTAAAAATATCATTTGAAAAGGTAAATACACAGTAAAGGTAGATCAATCATCTACAAAGCAAGTATGAGAAGGTTAAAAACAAAAGAAGGAAAATTAAAATTACAATTATTAGTTAAGGAAAACATAAAATAAAATGATATAAAATGTGTCATCAAAAATATAAAACGTGTGGAGAAGGGGAAAAAATGTAAAGCTTTGGAATGTGTTCAAATTTAAGTTGCTATCAACTTAAAAGAGATTGTTATATACATAGGATGTTACATATGAACCTCATGGTAACCACAAAGAAAAAAACATACAGTAAACTACACAAAAGAAAATGAAAACAGACTATAAACATAATGCTAAAGAAAGCCATCAAACCACAAGGGAAGAGAAAAAGAAGAAAGGAACAGAGAGGAGCTATAAAAATAGCCAGAAAACAATGAACAAAATGGCAATAAGTACATACTTATCAATAATTACTTTAAATGTAAATGGACTAAATTCAGCAATCAAAACACACAGAGTGGCTGAATGGATAAAACAACAAGACTCATCTCTATGCTGCTTACAAGAAGCTCACTTCAGAAGTAAAGATACACACAAACTGAATGTGAAAGGATGGAAAAAGATATTCCATACAAATGGAAATGTAAAGAAACTGGTGTTGCTATATTCATATCAGACCAATAAACTTTAAAACAAAGGCTGTAATAAGACAAAGAAGGGTACTATATGAAGAAAGGGTCAATCCAGCAAAAGAATATCACATTTACAAATATATATGCATCCAACATAGGAGCATCAAAATACATAAAGCAAATACTAACGCAACTAAATGGAAACGTTGAAAGCAATGCAATAATATTAGGGGACTTTAACACCCCGTTTACACAATGGGTAGATCATTTAGACAAAAAAAATCAGTAAGGAACCATCGGCCTTAAACAATACATTAAACCAGATAAACATAATAGATATATACAGAACAATTCATCCAAAAGCAGCAGAATACACTCTTCTCAAGTGCATAGAGCAGGGGTCGGCAAACTGTGGCTCACAAGCCACATGCAGCTCTTTGGGTACGTTCCGTCTCAAAAGTTTGCCAACCCCTGGAAGAGCCAATCCTGTCCCTTACAACAATCAGTAAAATGAGAGCCATACATATGTTTTTACATAATCACCATTATGTGAATAATATCGTTTAAAAATTTCATAAATGAAACTAGGTAGTTTTATTCTCATTTTCAATTTTACTTCAGAGCCTGTGGCTCACAAGCTGCAGTTTGCTGACCCCTGGCGGCTCTTCTGTCTCAAAAGTTTGCAAATCCGATATAGAGCATTCTCCAGGATAGATCACGTTAGGCCACAAAACAAGTCTCAGTAAATGCAAGAAGACTGAAATCATATCAAGCATCTTTTCCAACCACAATGGTATGAAATTAAGAAATGAATGACAAGAAGGAAACTGGAAAAATCACAAAAACGTGGATATTAAATAGCATGCTAATGTACAACAAATGGATCATTGAAGAAATCAAAAGAAAATGAAAAAATACCTAGAAACAAATGAAAACAGAAATACAACATATCAAAATCTATAGGATGAAGCAAAAGCAGTTCTAAGAGGGAAGTTCACAGCAATATAGCCCTACATCAAGAAACAATAAAAATTTCAAATAAACAATCTAACTTTATACCTAAAGAAAACAGAAAAAGAAAAATGAGTCCAAAGTCAGTATAAGGAAGGAAATAAAAAAGATCAGGGAAAAAAACAAATGAAATAGAAACTAAAAAAAAACAATAGAGAAGATCAATGAAACTAAGAGCTGGTTCTTTGAAAAGGTAAACAAAATCAATAACTTTTTAGCTAGGCTACCCCAAAAGAAGGCTCAAACAGATAAAACCTGAAATGAAAGTTATGACTCATACCACAGAAATACAAAGGATCATGAGACTACTATGAACAATTATACACCAACAAATTGAACAACCTAGAAAAAACAGATAAATTCCTAGAAACATACAATCTTCCAAGACTGAATCATAAAGAAAAAGAAAACCTGAACAGAGCAATACGAGTAAGGAGGTTGAATCAGTAATCAAAAACCTCCTAACAAATAAAAGTCCAGGACCACATGGTTTCACTGGTGAATTCTTGCAAATATTCAAAGATTTAATACCTATCCTTCTCAAACTCTTAAAAAAAAACTGAAGATAAAGGAACTCTTCCAAACATATTTTACAAGGCCAGAATTACCCTGATACCAAAATCAGACAAGGACACCATACACACAAAAAAAGTACAGGCCAATATCCTTGATGAACACGGATGCAAAAATCCTCAACAAAATATTACCAAACTAAATTCAACAATATATTGAAAGGATCACACACCACAATCAAGTGGGACTTATTCCCTGTATGCAAGGATGGTTCAATATCCATAAATCAATCAGTGTGGTACACCACATTAACAAAATGAAGAATAAAAATCATATGATCATTTCAATAGATGCAGAAAAATTGATTGTCAAAATTAAACATCCATTTATGGTAAAAACTCTAAACAAAGTGAGTATACAAGAAAAGTGTCTCAGCATAATAAAAGTCCATATATGACAAACCCACAGCTAATATCATACTCAATGATGAAAAGCTAGAAGCTTTTCCTCTAAGATCAGGAACAAGACAATGATGCCCACTCTCACCACTTTTATTCAACATAATATTTGAAAAGTACTAGGCACAGCAATTAAACAAGAAAAATAGAAAAAAAGGCATCCAAATCAGAAAAAAAGTAAAACCATTACTATTTGCTAACGACATGATACTATACATAGAAAAAACTCAAAACTCCACCATAAATAGACATTTTTCCAAAGAAGACTTACAGATGCCCAACAGGCACAGGAAAAGATGTTCAACATAACTAATTACTGGGGAAATACAAATCAAAACCACAATGAGGTATCACCTCATACCTGTTAGAATGACTTTATCAAAAAGACAAGAAATAACAAGTGTTGGAGAGGATGTGGAGAAAAGGCAACCCTCATACACTGTTGGTGAGACTGGAAATCAGTGCAGCCTCTGTAGAGAACAGTATGGAGATTCCTCAAAAAATTAAGAATAGNGGGTATAAATGTCTAACTATTACATTGTTTTGTACACCTGAAACTAATAAAATAAAAAATACAATACCATTTAAAAATTTAAAAAATAATAAAGTTGTGTGTTTTTTTTAATTCCACTATGCTGTGAAGACAATAAATGTGAACAGTTTGTATATAAACCAAATATGCTTTCAATGCCTCTGGGGTCACATGGTATTTGTCTTTCTCAGTCTGACTTACTTCACTTAGGTCAATCCATGTTGTTGCAAATGGTTAAGATTTCACTTTTTTTAGGGCAGAGTAATACTCCATTGTATAAATGTACCAAAATGTCTTTATCCTATCTTCTGTGGATGGACATTTCGGTTGTTACCATATCTTGGCTATTGTGAACAGCGCTGCAGTAAACATAGGGGTGCATATACCTTTTCAAATTAGTGTTCTGGATTTCTTTGGAAAAATACCCAGGAGTGGAATTGCTGGGTCATAAAGTAGATCTATTTTCAATTTTTTGAGGAACCTCCACACTGAATCTAAAGAACATAATAAACGAACAAACAAAACAAAAATAGATTTATAGATACAGAGAACAAACTGATGATTGCTATTGGGTTGTTGGAAAAGTCATGAAGCATTTTTGCAACGAAAAACACAGAAAAAACTATGACTTTTCTGACAACCCAATAGATGGGAGCGGGGTTGGGAGACTGGGTGAGAAAGGTAAAGGTATTAAGAAGTACAAATTGATAGTTACAAAATAGTCACAGGGATAGTACAGTATAGGGAATATAGTCAATAATATTGTAAAAACATGTATAGTGTCAGATGGGTACTAAAATTATCAGGTCACTTCATAAATTATGTAAATGCCTAACCTCTATGCTGTACACCTGAAACTAATATAAAATAATATTGAATGTCAACTATAATATAAAAAATATATGTAGTCACAGGATGTAAAGTACAGCATACGGAATACAGTCAATGGTATTGTAATAGTTACATGTGGTGCCAGCTGGGTAGACTTGTCCATTATCACTCTGTGAGGTGTGTAAATGTGTAATCACTATG